AATTAAAAGGAAATATATTAGAATATATTCCATTTAATAGCAACGCTTTATTAATTGCCCGTAAATATGAGCATATAAAACCCTCTATTAATTTCTTTTTCTCTTTACTTTGAAAATTCGTATTGTATAAAATTGTGAAAATGCTTCAAATCTTTAACAAAGTGGATATAGTTTTGATATTCTTTTCATTTATCTGCTGTGCTGCAGCTTGCGTTGGCAGACCCTCGTGCTGGGTTGGCCCAGATGCTTGCCTTAATTTTGTTGATTTTGTTGTTGGCTATCGAAATTCGTATGAATAAAGCCCCACTAATTAGGGTGCAGCCCGCGGACTGCCAGCATTTGGTGACGCGCTTCACAAATTTATTAAATTGACAATTTGTGGTAGCGATCGAGAGGGGCAATGGGGATGGGGGCGAGCGGGTGCAGCCGGTTGCAACTAATAAGCATTTGACATTTCTGTGCGCAGCAGGTATGCCAGCATTTCTATCTCATAGATGCGTTTAGCTCTCGATTCGTGGGCGCACGATGAAGCGCAAAGAGCTTTGATGATCTGCTGCTACGAAATTGCTTGGAACGTCGCCAGCTTTGGTCTTGTCAATTAGACAACAACTTCACAAGATTCCAAGCGATATGTATGATATGCTATAAGAATCTGTATCTTTGTTTGCCCTTTTATCTATGGCAAGATCTTTTGCTTTGGCTGCGCATCTTCAGCTATTACGCGGCGCCATTCTGAGCTCATTGAAGTCAAGCCATTTTTAACTAGATGCAAAATGCAAAGTGGAACTTGGTGTACTCAGCCTCGGTCTCTTTCTCTCTCTCTCTCTGTCTCTCTGCCTCTGTCTCTCTTGTTTCATAATAAAGGTGTTTCGTAGAATTCCCTCGTTCTCGCCTGACGATCTCTCCGCATGCAGCGCCTAATTGAGGCGCGACTCGAAGATGGCGTTTAACTTTATTTTAATATGAATATAAAAAAGGCTTGACGTGATTATATGCCATCAACGTAGTAGTTGTAGCTCTTGTTTCAGTTGTTGTTGTTGTTGCACCTTCAACATGCACACAAATTTGCATAATTGTTAACATGCTGTTGTTGTAATTGTCGTTGCTGTTGTTGCTCACTGCTGCTGCTGCTGCTGTTGCTGTTGCTGCTGTTGGATTTTAATCAGCGCCTCAACATGCAGTAGCTGAGCAGACAGCCCCTCACCCCTGCTCTACAGTATATGTTCTGCTTGGCACCTGGGTCCATTGTAGTAGCATTTCTCTAATACCAGTTCTGTTTTCATCTCTCCCCCTGCCTCTGCCTCTGCCTCTGCTAATTCTTCTCCTAGTGGGCTCAATTGGGTGGTTTAATGTAACCACTCAAATTGCAATATGTGTAGAGCAGCGCATTGGCATTTAATGAAGACATTTACCATCGAAAATTAAGTTGTACACGAGAGAGAGAGAAACAACAGAAACAACTATAGCGCGATAAGAAACATTAAAAACAACCGATTTTTAATTGTTAGCCCGGGTATGGGAGGGGCTAATGTGAGCAAAGGTTATTGACTTGGCTCGTTAAAATATAATAATATACCTTAATATATAGAGCACCCATTGAGAGCGATTATGCGGCAGTTGAGCTTGTTTATTAAAACTTGAAGTAAAATTAAATATTTAATGGGAAAAAATTTAACTGAGTTGTGGCTCTGTTGGGAGAAACAAGAAATAATCTTAAAATCATTTCAACAAAATTTTATATTTAACATAAAAAGTTATGTCAACTCAGCCCAATATATCAATCCAGTGCGCAATTCCTTGCTGCCTTGGCTTATATTTGATATTATTAATTATATAATAAATGTTTGCTTAAAGTCTTGTCTTGTTATTTAAATTGGAATTTTAAATAAAATAAAGCTAACGAAAGAAGTTTGAGGTATTTATATTTTCTACCTGCGTGTCGCCTCCACAGATGCGAATAAAAGTAATTCAAAATTGTTTATGCAATTAATAACAATTAAAAACGAAGTTAGACTATTCTCTTTCAGCGCTTGCAATTATTTTTCTATTTATGATAATTGCTGGTGTGTAAAAATAAACAATTTGCTTTAGTTAATTTACAATTTCACTTGTGTTTTTGCTCCTCACTTGAGCATAAATAAACATAACTCGCTCTACACACTCACATAAGCACCTTCCATTCGAAGAGCAAACATGGCTTTGGTTCTGCGGCAGAGGGCTGGACTAATTACCAGTGGCAACGTGTGTATTCATGAATACTCGCACGAACACTCACACATACTCATACACACTCATACTTATTCATGCCTGCATCGCGAACATAGACGAGTGAGCTTCACAGCAGATGGATAGAATGCAATTAAAGCTCATCGATGCATAAAAACAGATACATAAATTAGCTGCATACATACATACATATGTATATTTGTGTGCATGTGTGTATGTCTGCTCAAGATCGTATGCAAATTTATTTGAGTAGATGCTAAAATTGGCAGCCTGTGTCTGCTTTTCGCATTCGCTTCATTCATGTTCTTCAATTACCAGATACGAGTAATACGCATCTTGGCCAATTCGCTTAGCTCGGCTGGGCTATAATTATTTTTTGCACTTGTTCTCCAGTTATCATTGTTGTTGTTGTGTCGTTGTTGGCTGCCATGAGTTACAGATACATAAATAATAATAACAATATGCCCCATTGATTGGACTTGGAATCGGCATGAAACGAGTTTTTATACAAATGGAAAATCGCAAAAACGTTTTTCCTGCTTAATCAATATGTATACACAATCGTTGTTGTTGTTGTTGTTTGTTTGTTTGTTGTATTTATGAATGCAAATGCAAAGCAGGAGCAAAAGCGCCTTTCAACGACTCTTTAATTGGCTGACATGTTGTGATTTGGTCTTGTCAAGTTTTCAGCTGCCAACTGGCAATTATTATTGCCAATTTGTATATAGAGCCATTATGGATACATAAGACTGCATAACTGGGCCATAACTAGAGAGTCCCACTTCAGTCGAAATGCTTTGGGGTAGTCTAGTTAAATGCTAAAGGAGAAATGTATTAGAGTCTGATTTGATTTGCACATTTCCATAAGCCGCTATATACTAAATCTATATTTAGCTAATACAGGCTTCTAGCTGCAGATCAGCTGCAATTAGCCAGGGCTGCCAACTGGCTGCAATCAGCTATGAAGCACGCTGGCTAAAGAGCGCAGTGAAGCGTTTGATCGATGACAGCCCCTTCATGGATATTAATAAAAGTTTATAGGAAATATACAATCATGCCAATTGATTTTAAGCAAAGCGAATTACAAGCAATCGCTCTCCCCACCTCTCTCTCTCTATCTCTCTCTCTCTTTTAGGCCGTGTCTGCCTTTAACTGCGTTCCAATATTTCATTTATGTTGGGCATAAAGGTTAAAGATATTTGCTAATTGATTAATAAGCAGAGCCATAGAGCTCGACTATATACTTAATATTACTGGCCAGACTTTTTAGCTGCAGTCAATAAATTTTGATGATGCCTGATGCAACTCAAGAAGGGGGGGAGGGAAGTTGGCTTCGGGTGCTAAAGAAAAATCGGTGTGCGCTGTGCGCGCCATTGACATGATGAAAAATCGCTCAACAATTTTTCGTCTCACAATTTTCGTATTGTGGTGTATCTATAGAATATAGAGTGCACAGTATCTGGCAGCAGGCCGTGCGAGACGTAACAATTTTTCATGAAATTTGGAGAATTTAAATATAAACGGAGCGAGAGGTGCGAGATTCATAGCAGCAGTAGCTCGACCGGCTACATCTCCATTCTCTGTATCTATGGCCAGAGCCTCTATTTCCAACTATAGCTGCATCTGTATCTGTATTTGTATCTGTATTAGAATTAGGTATTCGGTATTATGAGTTATTGTGGGAGTCTGTCGGCATTAGCCGCGGGTGCCGGCTGCCTCTGTCCGGGGCAGGCAGCAGGGGACGGAGCGGCACACGTTTGTTTACAATTTCACGCGCTGCGATTTTCGCGGTCGACTTTTCACGCAGCGCCGCAAGAAAAATGAAAAAGTGTTGCCGTGTGAGGGAAAATCTTTTGTTATTGTTTATGTATTTTGACAAGCTGCCCCGCGCGCTCTCAGTTTGCCAGACAATTTGGTGCTGGAGATACTCTGAATGCCCTCAGTGCTCTTACTATTCCACTCTCTCTCTCTGTCTCTCTCTCCCTTTCTCTGCCTGTCTCTATGTTGTCTCTCTGTAATTCCCACACTGGTGCTCGCACTCGTTCATTTGAATCAACAAATGAGTTAGGTAACTGTGTAATGGGCCAAGTTTGCTCTTCGATCTGTTCGCATTCAGCAAGCGAATACTTAATTGCAGCTAAAGTCAAGGCAAGTGCAATTTGATATGGGTGTAATTTACCAGCGAAAATTATATATTGACAACCTGACTTGGTCGAATATTAAATAGTTTAAATCATATATGATAGCATTGTTTACGAGTCGGAGCTTTGATTGTAATTATTACAAACTAAAATATTTATATTGAATAGCTTTCATTAGGATACCAAGTTGGCAGTCTACAAAAACAGAAAGATATATTAATACATAGATGATATACGGCAGTATATGACACATATATATGTCATATTTATATTAATAAACAAAAATTTCTATATTTTTGTAAGATTTCAAACTTCAAAGTAATTAGCTTTAACAGCTATCAGAAAATGAGCTATAGATTTAAAAAAAAAAAAAATAGATTTATACATATAAATATGAAAATAATATGTAAAATGGAAGTTTGTTCTATAAGAAATCATAGGTAGATAGATTGATAACTATTCTTAAAAATCGTTTTAAAGGACTTCAGAGCATAAATTGATATATAAATTAATTAATAATATATCAACGAATTTATCAATAAATGTGATATATTATTGTTATACTATTTTAATTTATATATAACTATAATCAAAATAAAATTATAATTCGAATATAACATATTTAGCACTTACTCTGCCCGAGATGTACTCGCTTCATCCATGGATAGATCTGTGGCGGATTCTTCTTGCCGTTGCCGCTGTTCTGGCTGCTGCCCGCCTCGTTGCCGCTGTCGCTCTCCGAGTCGGAGTCGCCGCCCGGACTGTGCATGGGCACGTTGACGTTGACGGGGCCACCGCCGCCTCCTCCGCCGCCGCCGCCGCCACTGCCGCCGCTGTGGTTGTTGTTGAGACTGACGGCGGCGGCGGCGGCGGCCAGGCTGCCGCCGAGGACGCCTTTGTTGAGGGAACGGGCTACGCTCTCCACCACGGAGCTGGGCGACAGCTTGGGCGAGATGTCGCGCGTGGAGAGATCCTGCGGGCTGGCCAGCGATTGGTTGTTGTTGTTGCTGTTGGCGCTGCTGTTGTTGTTGTTGTTGTTGCCAACGGGCGTCGACGGATCGTTGGCATACTTACAGCTGATGCTCGCCTGCTGCTGCTGCTGCTGTTGTTGCGGGAGTTGTTGCTGCTGCGGCAACTGTTGCTGCTGCTGCTGCTGTTGTTGCTGTGCCACAGCGGCAGCCGTCGCATGAGCGTGCTGCTGCTGCTGTTGCTGTTGCTGCTGCTGCAGCAGCAAGCGCTGCGGCTGCAGCTGTGTGTAGTCCACCATGTCGGGATTGGACTGTCCACCGCCCGGCGCACCGCCGCCGCCGCCCAGCCCATAGGCCGCCTGGTTCGCATAGTGCGCCTGCGGTGTGTTTGGATACAAGTTGGGCGTGTACGCGGCCGCCGCTGGAAAGTAATCGTTGCTGCCCGGCGTCGCGGCGCCGGAGTTGCCCTGTCCGTTCGCTCCGCCCGCGCCGCTGTTGCCGCCGCTGCCATTGGCGCCCGGATGGCTCTGCTGCGGGTTCATCTGCTGCGGATAGCAGGAGGCCAGCGAGTTGACAAACTGGTACGAGGACATGGCAAAGCAGTCGGGATCCATTTTGTGGCCGGGACAACGCTACGATTCGTATCTGAAATGAAATTCAAGCGGTTAATCCAACAGTTCCACGTCGCACCAACAGCCGGCCAGATGCCCGCCACAGATTGCACTGAAATGGCTTAAGGTCTACTCCACCCAATCCCCGCCCACTGCAGATCTCCATGCGCGATCAGTCATGCAGCCGGCAGAGCTTCTGTGCTCGCCCAGCCTAGCTGCGTATTAGCATTATTTGCAGACGAAAGTACGCTCAAAATCATGCATAATCTTGCGAAATAATCTGGCTCTGAATTAAGCAGCAAACTACGCGCATATAGACGTCTGGCAAGCATACGACAGACTCGAAACCTCGTGGATCGAATCTGCCAGCTCTATGCACATCAGGCCTCGCTGTATACCCTTGACACTTCCAAACCTCAGATTGCTGAGAATCGCAATCGTAAGGCATCGATAGCAAAGCGTAGGCCAAGATAGCAAAGAATTTGCTTTTTATATATTTAAAAGATTGATTGGCAATAAGAATAATTCTAAGTTTCTCTTTCCGTTTCTATGAGTTTTTAAATTAAATAAAATATATTATTATATTTTTAAATTTTTACTATTCTATTTTCTCTATTCTTTTCTTATACTTTCGTTTCAACTTATTAAATTGTTATATTAACATATTTAATAATTATATAAAATATATCTAATTAATAGAATAATACACATAATAATTTATCTATTATATATATATGTAATATTATAATTTTAATTATATTTTCTTTATATTTATATATATTTAAACAATTGCTATGTTCTCAGCTTACTCAAAAGTTAACTCATTTTTTTTTTCTTAGCTGGTAATTTCAATGTAGTTGCATTTACCCCACTGAGCATCATTATTACAATTATTTTTGAGGCGGCTAAGAGCCGAATTTCGCGTGGCCAAGAGCACGGCCCGTTCGGCTGTTTAGATTTCAGTGGAGCTGATGGGCAGGCGCGGATATGCCTAAGCATTGGCATTACGTGCATGCAATTTTGGTGTGGCACGGCACGGTGCGGCACCGGCTGGAATGCCAGCACCGCCCACTCTCGCTGAATGGACACTTGCTGCACTTGTGGCCGGGCCTGGACCCGCTCGGCGTTGGACACCATCACTGATACAGCGGACGCGGCAGTGGCAGCGCGTTTGTTTGAATGGTGGAAAACTCGTATTGCGGAGATAGCAACAAAAGCTGCCACGATTGCAGCGTTTGTTTGGCCTCAAATGCGGCCCAAAAAAAGGAGAACAAGAGAAAAAAAGCCCCAAAGCCGAAAAGTGTAAAACGCAATGCCCGAGAAGACTTGGCCAAACAACCAGGAAGCCAACGAACATGGCCGTAAAAAAAAGGAGACGTCCATTGCCCAAAAACAATGCAACGACCTCTGCAACGAGCACAGCAAGTATTTCTGCATTCTCTCTCTCTCCCTCTCTCTCTCTCTCTCTCTCTCTCTTTCGCTGCAGTTTCTTCTTCTTGTCGATACTCGCTGCTTGTTGGTGCTGCTTCTTCTTCGTATGAAACCAATAATTTTGATTCAGTGGGCAATTTAACCCTTTAGCATGTTGCCCAAATGAAAGGAGTTGAAGCTTTAAATTAAATCGGCGTACGGGCCTCAACTTGAGCTCTGGCCCTGGCCCTATGCCTCCACCTAACCCTGCGCCTCCTCCCGGCACAACTCAGTCGGGTTTCTGAGACAAAACACAAAAAATAAAGCCCGTCCACAGCCGGGCAGCCAGTGCTCGACAGAGATTTATTTGATGAGCAGCATTTCAGTAAAATAAGAAGAAGCAGAAACAAAAACTTTGTAAGCTCGCTTTCGGCCCTGGGTATTTGTCGATTATGGAGTTTAAAGCAATTGTAACGGCATTTCGCTAAAGTTTTCGATTTTGAATTAGCCCAGAGGCAACGACACACAAACAGTTTGATTATCCAAATTATATGCTTAGATAAACAACAGCAATGACCCGACGACTTGTAGACGTTGGCAAATTATTTGACCCCAGAGTATGAGGCTAAATTATCAAATCAAAATGTGCTTGATGTAGCCAAGAACTGGGATTACCAAGATTGAATGTTGTCAACAGATATTTAAGTTATTTATTTAGATAAATAATAATCGAAATCGAGAAAACAAACAGAGAGAAAGGGTAGAGCTATTGGAATTGGAATCACAATTAATCTAATAAGATAATTAAGATTTGAAAGATGCCGAATCTTAAACCAAATACTAATTGAATTCGAGAAAACAATAATTGGAATTTGCAGTATAATTTACATTTGTTGCGGATCATTATGAAAAGTTTAATGAAATGATGAAACTTTTCATATGATTATGACTACTTTGAATAACATATATTATTAAATATATTATTATCTTCGATCCTTAATCTAATATTTTCAATTTTTAACAGAACTCCCATATTCTTTTAAATTAAAGATCAAGCTCAATCTTGCTCAAATACATGTATTAAATATAAATTCAATTATTATCTCAGTTAAGTGCAGTGACTAAATTCAATTAATATCTCAATAAGCTGAAGTAACTGGAAGTCAAGTCAGTCTTCTATTCGCTGTTCGATAAGAGAGCTTCCATCTTCGAGCCTCAATGAATTGAATGGGTGCTGATCGCACTACCGGCGCCTGTTGTTTATTTTCTTCGATCACTTAACGGCAAATTAAAAATTCGGAAATAATAAAAGCTATAAATTATACGAGTTTGGAAATTATTTACCAACGAGTCGAGTCGACAAGCGGTTCAATTGGTGTTAATTAAATCCATGAATAATGAAAACCCAAACCGAATTTACGGGCTGGCCAGCTACACATATACATATATACACAATATTTATTTTATGCATATATATTTACATATTTATTTGTATATAGAGAGTGGATACAATTATTGTTGTCTTAGATTGGCGCTGGTCGCTTGGCTGATTGTCGCCTCGTATGAAGGCCATAAATTATGCCAGCGACATTTTTGAGACGAGGGAGCGAACAAGACTGAGCGAGTTTCCTTTGTCTCGACGTCTGCGCGGCCTTTGGGCATTTTCTTTGCATTGCATTGCATTGCATTGCCTGCCTTTGTCTAAACAGTTTTGATATGCCCACGAAACGGGAGTGAAATGCTCGCATGGAACTCTTAAACCGCAGAACGAATTTCCTTTTACCAAAAACGTTGAGCCGTCGACTTGGGCACAGGTAAATGCACGAAGAAGCGGCCGAAGGTACGAGTAAATAAACAGCAATTGAGTTGCACATGCGCAGCTCTTGGAGGGGTTTCCCCCTCGCTGTCTTCCAGGACAAAACTCGATGTCACCATAAATCAATTTGTGGTCGATGCGACAGCTGAAAAGGGTTTCTTGACTTGGCAACTTTCCATAAAAAACTCTAACACAATGGCTGAAGTCTTAGGTAAATGATCCTATAACTAGGGTTGCTCCCCGTAATTAAGATGATTAACTTTTGCATAATCGATATTTAATAGGGAGGAACGCAAGGCAGAGAGGCATACAAAGATGCTGCCCTAAGTTTATTTTTATTATTTGAATTCAAAATAAAATATTTTATAATTTAATGTTAAATATATAAAGGTAATAAAATATAATTACTAGTACAGGAAATATATATTAGCAGTATATCACTATTCTATCTATTTGATCTACAATTAGCATTTAATAATCATAGATAATAAATATATGAATGTATGTAATGAACTGAATAAAATAATTCAGATCATCTTCATTTTATATAGCTATATATTTCTGTTGATCTATTTATTTTTGTCAAATACCCACTCCAAATTGATCTAATAATCAATAAAAAGCCTTTTAGTAAATAAGGTATATTCAAGTTATCTCAGATCTCAGCATTTTGTTATAAATGATCTTTAAAAAAATCTTATCCAAAAACCTTAAGCTCTGGCTGTCAAGCACGTTTTCTTCGTTTCTCCTCGACTCTCAACTCTCTACGAATTATTGGTCTGTCATCCATTTCTAAGCACAGGGCTCTTCATCATCCTCAACTGGCGCAGTCATATGCCAGCCATCTCTTAATTATGTAATGAAAACAAAACCCTAAGCAGTTACATATACATATTTCTTTAACAAATGTCGTCGTGGACTTCGTCGTCGTCGTCGTCGTCATCGTGTTCACCATTACAGATTTTGAGCGCGGCTGGTTTGTTTGTTTGCAGTCGAGGTACTGGGGTCTCTGGTCATAAATCATAATTTTTAATATTTGTTGTCAACATGGGCGTAGCTCGTGTGTATGTAAACATGAAAGGGACCCACGAGACGAGACCAGACGAGACGAGGTCGCACTCGCACAATTCTAAAAGGTATTTGCGCACGCGCAGTCACACTCATTGGCTCTGTTTCCCTCTCGCTCTAACTCCCTCTCTCTCTCTCTCTCTATTTCTCTGCTTTTTTCAGTTTCATTCTCTAGAGCAACAATGGGCCAAAAAGGAACGACAAACGCACACGCATGCAAGTGGGCCCATTAAAAACTCATAAAAATTTGTAAGCACCTCATAAAAGTAGTCATAAATATTATTATTTGCTCTTCTCTCGCTCACACACTCATCTCTGCATTTGTCTATCTCTCTCTGTCTCTCGCTCGCTGCTGTTGCCACAGTTTGTCGTCTGAACCCTCGTCTGTGTTTTGTTTGCGGTTGTTTGTGGCTCTCATAATTTTTATGAGTTTTTGATTTGTTTCTCCAGTCTTCGATCCTCACTGCAAGCGGCCATTGTTGACCTTTTGACACGTACTCAAAAACAGTTGTCGCCTCGCTCAGATTTTGCGGTTTCGCCTTTTGTGTCCCTACAATCTGTGTTTTACACATCGTTTACCATGGGTTATGTCACAGCTATATCTATAACGATGTCCTCTAAATAGCTCCAAGGACAATGCGCATTGTGATAAATTATTTGGTTAGCTTCTGGCTGACCTCAATTTTTCAAGGAAATTTTGAGAAAAGTAAAAATATTTTAATTATAATTGGCTAATTTATTTAAGATATTGCTTATATTTACTTTATTTTAAAGACTATATGAAGAGTTTATTTATGTTTTGTCTTAACGTTTTCTACTTGTAAACACCCTAAATTGGATTAATCAAACGCTTATATAATATATCACTGATTAAAAAAAAATATACCTGAGATTTATGAAGAAGTAAACAACTTCTGATTTAAATTTATTAACGATATAAATACGTTGAATTTAGAAGCTCATTAAAAGCTGAGCTGGTAATTAAATCACAATTAAGCAAGCTCACTTGAAATAATTATTGTTTATATGTTGCCGCAATTAATATTTGTAAATAATTTAAATATTTTTATAAGTATTTCTTAAGTCATTAAACAGCTTTAAAAGCACATGAAAGATTCTTCCACCAAAAAAAGGAAAATAAATTATAAATAAAATGTTCAGTTTATTCCTTCAATTGCATATTGCTTTGCAAAAATGAAAAAGAAATATATGAATATAAATCACAAATGTGTTATCAACGTGCATGGCAGAGAAATCGGCGCTGGCAAACAGGATGAAAAGTTGGCGTCTCCTTAGGAGTCGAGTCGAAAATGAATGTGTCCCGGCACTTATTGTACCTACACATCCCAATACAAAGTTGAGCAAATGGCTGCCTGTCGCTCCAATAGATCAACGACTCCCCAACAGCAACAATAACAACAACAACTATTCATTGTGTTATGGCTGTTGTCGCGGCAAAGTTTGCGTGTTTCCTACATTTATTTCATTTATTTTTTGTTCGTTTATTTTTCGGTATTTTGATTTATAAATACAAATAAGTTAGGCTGGAATATCATCATGACATTTTGGCCCGCCGCCGCTGGGTCAGCCGCACATACCGTGATGAATGTGAGCTCCAGGCGCAGCCGAAACGCGAATGTTGATGGCATAAATTCAAGCGCTGACAACCCAAACAAGAGCTGCAAACAAATCCAGACTGCGACTCCCAGTCGGACTCGGACTCAACTAGGCGACCAATTAACTCAACGGGCAGCAGCGGCAACTGTTGTGCCCACATTATGCAATAGCCCATTGAGCGCACTTTGATCCGAGTGGACCGCACGCTGGCAGAGACGGACTGGACGCAAATGCAAATGCAACTGCAAATGAAAGTGACCTACATCAAGTGGCGGCAATACGATTTAACCATGTGCTTCAGAGTGCTCGGGGGTGGCACGGCATCTACGGCATATAGGGATCTAAAGAAGAAGTGCGCATGCAGCGAAATTGGTCTAGGCGCACCATGGGCGCCCAGTGGACCCTGCTGAATGGTGCTACACTTTCGTTCCATATCAGTGCGTATGCAGAGAATGAAGTAGCTGTTGCTGGGCGCAGCTCCGACTCACATTTTAATCCAATTCGAGTCTCGGTCTGGCCAGCATGAGTTCCCCCGGCCATGTGATGGCAGAGCACGCAATTCCTATGTACAAAAACTGTGCTTTCCCAAAAACTATTTACATTTCAAATACACACACATCTATATACCACACTATATACTACCATAGAATGTTATTTACAAATATGTCAGATGTGTATGTATTTTAGTAGGTAGATTGTGGCTGCTTGTTAGGCATTTTTCATTCGCTGTGACATTTCGCCTTTGTGACTCTTAATTATTTCAAAAACGGCTGCATTCGTTTTAATGAAGTGAAAATTCTTTGCGTTGATATCGCGCACGCAACCCAAAACAACAACAGTAGTTACAACAACAAATATATAAGTCAACAAGCCCAATTCGATATAGCCCTAGCACTATGGAATTCTCTTTAATTGAAGGTTTTGCTACTGTATCCCATTTCAATTCGATTCGAGAATTTAATAGTTAAGTGTGACTTAATATATGAATAAGATGTTTAAAACTCGAAATGTTAATTAGTAATGGAGAAGGTATACAAAATTATTTACTATCGAAATGAAAGTATATTACATATAATGAAATCAATTATATACATATGCATATAGTTATATGTATGTATAAGAATTTACAACATGTCAGTATTGAGAACTGCAAGATCTGTAGTCTTCCTATAAAAGTTGGCATCTTATCAATTTTGTTTATTTATGTTCATCTGAGCTAAATGTTTATTAAACCTATGTTTTATTCTGTTTTTTATATTATTAGCTGGAAGCTACAAACAATTTGACGTTGTTGTGTATTATAATATTGTTGTGTATATTATAATATAATTTATTTAAATCTTGTTTGAAAACAAAGAAATGTTTTTTTTTCATAAATAATGTGTTGTGTGCAGGCACAAGAAAAACTAATAATAAGTAAATAAAGAACAAAAATAAAAAATATTTATATGTAAATAAACACAGATATAAAAATAAATAAGTAAATTGTTATTGTTCTGTGTGTATGATTTTTCTTTACTTAAAGCCGTTATTTGGAAGATTTTAACTATATATTTAATTTTAAAAAATTAAATATTTTACTTATTATTGTTTTCTTTTTGAGACGAATTTTTATTTACCAAAAATATACTTTATTGAGCTCATATGTAGATGTGTTCAATTAGAATAAATCAACTTTTGAAAAAAAAAAATTATTATAATACATATTTACTATTTAGTTCCAGAAGTTTCTCTAAATCATATAATCACAGACTAAAAAAAGTTAAGGTTTTCAATTTTCATTTCACAAATGATAGAAGCGACCCTAGAGCTCTCACTAAATAATAATTCGTATAATCTCAATTAGTTCGGACAACGATTTGGCTGATAATAAAATAAAATTGCATTTCAATTTTATAATAAACCGATTTTAAATTGACATTTGTCCTTATAGCCATTATCATCAGTATTATGCCCAAATTAAATTTGTCAACAAAATAATGCAGTGCAGATTCTTAGTCATCGGATTGTATTCAAAATTTATTATTTATTTAGTTAAAATTCTTGCCATATTTTTTGTACTGCTTTCATTGCTCTGCTTGTCTGATCCCTAAAAACAATATAGATCTATTTGTCTTGAAATATGTTTAAAATTATCTTTTTGTGTAGTTTACCTGTTCCTTAAATATTCGAAAACAATTTAATTTTTCACTAATTGCATTCACTTGAATTAAGATTAGCCGACGGCTTTCAGCATTCAGTGTAGAACAATTTTAAACCATTTAAATAGAGGTTTGGTGCACTTCACGAATCGAGAAAAGCTTTTTAGTCTATTGTTGTTAAATTAAGTTAAGTGCGGAAATTAAGTTCCGCGTTGAATCACTTTCGACCTTTAGCTAATTATCGTTAGTCGATTTGGCCCGCATATTTAGAGTTTAATCCGACATTTGACACGGCGTAGTTATACCTGCACTTTTTTGAGTTTGTGTTGCACTTGATGTTCGGCGGATTCTTAAACCGTAATTAGCCGCAGCGGGCAGGCACTTGATTTGTCACAGTTCTAGTTGGGCTGCGGCGTAGATGCGCCGATTCGCATTCTATGGAAAGCGAGTTTCACACCGAATTTATGGTATCCATCAGCGCGAATGTATTTTAAACGTCATCGATGGAAACACTGGCACTGCAAGCACTTGGATGCCCATCCATCTTTCGTTATTATCGCTCAAAGTCAGCGCGTCTTTCAATGTATCTGTATCTGTAACTGTATCTATAGCTGTGGCTGTAGCTGTATCCAACGGATGCCCGTCTTTGTTATTGTATTTATTTGAGAGCCGTCGAGAGGCGCACGATTCGCGGACGTATTGACGGATTGTTTAGCCACGGTCAAACGTTTTCGGAATCGGCTTTTGGTTCTGTTTCTGTTTCAGTTTTAGTTTCTGTTTCGATGAATGTATCCGCGAATACGTGCTCGAAGCGCCAATGTCTCACTTTGACTGCTCGGGCATAATTCAAATATCTGAGCATCAATAAAAAACTCATGCAACGCGCAGCGCCAGCGCCGCCAATTGTAGCAGCGAGTACGAGCAAGTAGAAGCACACTCACACTACTCACACACACATACAAATAGTTGCCGCTTTGCCATGGCAGTGGCGAACACACAGTCAGTCGAGTGCATTCATTAAACACTCGCGGAATAAATGGGAAAAAAAAATAAATTCGAACAGTTCATGCGTGCTAGAGCAGTCAGACAGCATTAAATGCGGTTACTGCTGTCTCGCTCACACGCACTGGCGTTGCTCTGATGTTGTTACCTTTGCGGACGCAGCTATGTGAAGCCGCAAGCGAGAGTGAGTGCGTGTATGTGTGTGTCGTGTATTGCTGTGAGTTCGAAAGAGAGCCAGTTCGAATTCACATGCGCTCTTCGAATGCGAACACATTCTATTTCGAATTTCTGCTCCGACTGTTCTTATTGATCACACAGACAGTGTACGTGTGTCTCATGCACACAAAGAGATGGGATCGCTTCAGTTTATAAATATTCGAGTTTCGAATTCGGCAATAGTGTGAGTGTATGTACGTGTGTCGAAAAAGTTTGATAACAACCGTGAAAGTTAAAGTTTGTTTTATGAAACTGTTTTAAAGGCGTTGAAGGATAATTCGTTATTCAATTATTATGCGAATAAAATTAAAATTTAATGTGGTCTCGTTATTATTTAATGTTCTTGCTTAATAAAAAGTATCTCCGAATTGACAACTTATTATTATTCCATTCTTATTTTTATATGCCGAATTCAATCAAGGCAGCATTATTAGATACGAGACTTATTTGTATATTTGGTCGTTTGCTTACCTTAATATTACAGTGTTTGAAATCCAATCGGATGTGTTGTTGTTTTTCAGAACTAAATTTAAATGATTTGCACTTTTATGATTGTATATATTGTATTTGCTATTCTTGTGGTACACTCAACAATTTCCATGTATTGAATACATTTAAACACTTGTTTCGTTTAGTTTACGCAATTCTCCAATTTCATTGGCATTTTTAAAGCTTTGCAGCCCATTGAAAACATTCCTCTTGCATGGGAAATGCAAAGAAATTCACAATTGGGATTTATGTTATTGCATTTATCCTCAGGCCTGAATTTCGACAAGTTATCCGTTAGATAATTTGTGATTCAAACGAAATATTCCTTGAGATTGATTCACTATGCCGTTGCTGGAGCTGGAGCTAGAGCTGGCCGTCAATCAGCAACCCAGTTGGACATGCAGTAGTTCACGAGACACGACTGTTTTGATTAGTAAGTGGAAAGTTTGATTAAGTTTGAATTTAACCGGGTACCGAGCGCGCAGCTGGCGTACTTGAGTGCGCCACGTTCGATTCACGTTTGACCGAGCCTTTCGGCGAATGTCAGAGTGGAGTCCGAGTGCTGGCAAGTGCGCGAATGTATGGGTATTCGAAAACTGTAAATCATTCGGCGGGCGCACAGGGAGTGCGAGCGAGCCGCACACAGTATGCGCATGTTCGAAAAGCAGTCGCGCTCGCTCGCACTGCGCTAGGCCACGCCTTCTGCTTTGATTTATGCTTCAGGGGGTGCCGCATGGCCTGGACCAACGGCCTATGGCGGAGCAGCGACGACGGCAACGGCAACAGCAACGGCGACGGAGACGGCAACGGCGGCAGCGGCGGTTGCTCCACAGCAGCCACAGCTGGCATACAGAAACGGCACAGAAACAGGTAGTTGGACGCTGGACGAGGCAGATGATTGCCTGCCACTCAACGTCAACGTCAACGGCAACGTCAACGTCAGCGCACCCCGCGCTTTCTCTCGCACTGCTGTAACTCTCTTTGAGCCCGGCAGCAGGAGCAGCTTTCTTTTTTTTTTTTTGCTCCAGATTAGGCAGAAATCATCCTAGATTAGTGCGTCCCACATTGGCCTCCCCCTAACGTTGGCATCTTTATGCCACCCCCCCACGACACTCCAGCCCTGTGCTGGCACTTTATTTGTATTCAATCGTGGCGCTGTTCCGCTAAATCACCGTCACATTATTATTTCGCATTATTATTTTATAAACGTTTCGTTCTGTGCGCCATCATTTCCATTTTTATTGGTTGCGTTCGAAATTTTACAGCGCGCTCTGTAAACGAACAAAAAAGTCACAGAAAACCAAGCGACAAATGACTTTTTTTTCTCTCTTTATATACATATACATATATATTTTTTGTTTGTTTGCATCTCTTTAAAATGAGCTCGTTTGCACTCGAGTTTTGAATGTGATTTCGTATTGGAATTTAAATTTATTGACCACATTGTCTGGCGACGTCTCGGGGCTCTTATGATTCATGCCCGATCTCGGGTTACGGGTTACGGGCTACGGGCTACGGGCTACAGGTTACGGCTTATGACTTCACGACTGTTTGGGCTGGGTCTGGCTGTGGCAGCGCGTTTGGATAAATGCCTTAATTAAAAATCAATTTTGGACTTGCTACCAAATTCCAAGTAAGCAAAACAAGAAACACACGTGTGTATATATTTATTTGTGTACATATGAGCATATGAGTATTTATTTGTTGTCGTGTGAGATTTGCATTTGAATCCGTTAAGATAAATTGTTGATGTCAAGTGGAGAACCTAATACTGTCATATGAAAGTTTAAGGTCTAAGAATCCATCTGACATAACTCCAATTATGATAATATTCTATGCGTTGTTAATTAACATATTTCTGAAATGGGCGATTTCGAAAATGAATACCGGTTTGGTATATGCAATATATGCTAATACATATATATTTATAGTTTAATAATAATCAAAGAATTACAAAATGGTTACGTATGCATATTTTGCAACTAATTTACTTATATATAACTTTAAGGTTTTATAGGACTAAGTCGAACTTTTGAAAAACTGATATTTGTTTTTTAAATACGCTTGAAATAAACCGTTTGCTGTAAAGTTAAGTTTTTGTATATAGATTAAATAGATAAACACAATAGGAGACGGAATATCAGAACATTTCATATATTTGTTATACAGAAGTGTTATTAATATATAAATGTATAAGATGAATTCTGAACTATTTAATTTAAGCAACAAGAATGTCGAATACCTTAACAATATGTATTGATTCCTAGAAAATTGTATAGCAATTTCATATATTTGTTTTGAAACAATCTAAAAATTACTTGAGTCTATAAACCACAATAAATGTCGTCCAGTTTTATTTAATATTCCTGAGAGGATTAAAATTATAAATGTAAATTAATATATGCAAATGCAATTTTAATAGAAAATAATTAAATAATAACAGACATTCGGCAACAAATATTATTTAAACAACGAAATCATAAATAATTCCAATAATTAATACAAATTTAAAATTTGTTTATTTGAAACAATTATTTATTCTAATTGAGTTTCTGAAAGGAAAATGCCAGAGACCTAATTGTTTACAATATTTAATATAGCATTGCTATAAAGATATGATTGAATCTCAATTCGGAAAGAAAAACAATTCGATTAGAAAATTTATTATTAATAAATAAAAAGTTGAATTATCTGTTTAATATTTATCAAGTTCGAGTTGTGCTGCACAATTGATTAGACTGCGTTGTCGTTGCCTTCACTGGGTCTCCAGATGGCTACCAATTCCATAGCAACATGCAACCGTTTCGTTTTTCTAGACCGCACGACATGAGGGAACCCATATTATAAAAATAAAAATAAATAAAATAAGCAACAAGATTAAAGAAAAAATCAACTGAACGGGAAGAGAAAAGAACTAGGAATCATAAGAGAGACGCCTTCGTGTACTTCTGTAATTGGAGTTGATGTCGGAGCTGCCAGCGGGCAGTAAAAATGCTCAGCCAGAGACGGAGATGGAGATGGAGATGGAGCCCTCTCTGCCTGAGAGGCAGCTCAGCCCAGCAGCATCCAACATGTTGCAGGCGATTTTTCATCATCGTTCGCATGTTGTTAATATTGATGTTGTTGTTCTTGTTGCTCTTGTTGTTGTTGTTGTTGTTCCTGTTACATACATGCTTTTAATATGAAACAATCAGCAGCGTTTGTAGTTTTGTTTTCGTCTGCTGCATGGCAACAAAAAACTGGAGGAATTTTCAAATTAAATGTGGGCATAGAAGTAGTGCCACATGCAACTCGCGCAACTGCGCAACTGTGCAACTGTGCAACATGCTTGCAGTTGCGGAACTGCAGCAGTTTTCAATTAAACGCCATGCCATCGACCCAAGAAAAATGGTCAATACCAATGGCACGGGAACGGGGCTGAGCCAGCTCACGACAATTCGTTAATACCCTGCCATTTGAGTTCTTCACGCACTGTGCCGGCTAAAAACCAGCTTAGTGAATGGTCAGCACTGGCAGGGGGCAGTGGCCAGTGGGCGGGCGGCGGGGCCGTGGGGAAGGGATGGCAGTTGGAGCTGCTACTGGCAGTTGATAAATCTGCGCCATTTAGGACAAACACACACAGCGCAAAAGTTGCAGCTACTTAGAGAGCCAACGATAACTGCAGCAAGACAAATCTGGAGCACATACTCTAAGGAGAAGCTGCTGCTGCTGCTGCTGCTGGTGTTGCTGCATTGAGGAATGCATTTACATCAAAAGGCAATTTAAATTAATTTCCGACCTTTTTGTTTGCCCTCGAAATCGGAGTTGGAGTCGCAGTCGAAGTTGCAGTCCATCCACATTTGATTATGATAAACGCGTCTCAGCTGTCAGGCGATGAGCTACTTAGCCGCCAAGATGGCGACCAAAAAAAGTGCGAGCTGAGAGTGGGGAGCTGAGAGCTGTGCAGTGGGAGCCCATTAGGCTATGTCCTTGTTGTTGTTGTTGTTGCAGGGACAACAGCTGCGGCAAAGCGACACGCGAGCTACTGAATTCATCATTAGAGCGGCATTCAAAAATGTTCCGGCTGTGACGCCATTTTGATTTGGTTTGCACACATATTCCAATGCCAATATGTGCACACTATCGTACATAGAAATATATACACATATACATAT